GATATCATATAGGACAAAATTTACATAGTATTGGGTTATTAGTATTATTTATTGATATTAAATATAAATATTTTATTAAAATAAATTATAATTTTATTTAATAAATAATACTAATTGCACTTCAAAGAATATACTTAAATTTTGTCGTATCATGTAATCAGGTAGTTTGCATGTCACTTGTTGTCCTTTGATATAAATTTTATTTATTTTTCAAAATTCAATTGATACTAATGGTTGTAGAATTAAAATTAAAATATTGATTGAATTCTGTCATGGGAGGTTTAATTTTCACAGGGATGGAGGAAAGTGATGGATGTTTCTGTATTAAAATTTGAAAATTCTCAGGGATATATTTAAAAATTTTAATTGAATTCCTCCTTAAATATGTTATAAAAATGTTACCTAACTATATATTTTTCACTCTTGTCAATCCTAATATTGATTTTCATAACACCCCATGTCATTTCTTCTAAAATATATGTATAAAAATGTTGTTAAACCAAGTGAAACTTGTTATGGGGTTAACATCATTATTGATATCTCCCTTATACAATTAGTAGAGCTACTTTTTTTGACTAATAATAGTGGGTAGGAGGCTAACTACAACTACTGCCTTTTAAGCATTGGATGCTCCCCTTTTCTGCCTGCTATGTCTTGAAAAGGGTTCTTAATCCATATGCTATCAAGAAAAATAAAGTAAAAGCAAAGTTGCAAGGCACTGTTTTGGGGGAAGGGGACCCATTCATGAACCATTTGACATAGATATGCAACTTAGAAGCTGTGAAATCTTCTTAATTAGATCAACTCTTTTGGTTGTTTATAATCCTATTTATTTTTTAGTAATGTACTCTTTGGTTACCCTTAATAATTATGTCAATTTATAAGTTATACGTTATACTACAGCAATCGGTTTATGTGATTTGTTGTTATGACTTGAGATGTTAGCTTAATATATATTATTTCAAACGTGTGTTAACTTAGACTTAGCTATATTTATTCAGTTTCTTTGAGACTTACGTGAGCGGTTATATGAATTTTTAGTTCATGTGAAACATGCTAATTTTAATTTAACTTGCTATGTATAATGATTTTTTAATTCATATTTTAACACATCAATTTTTTAACTATAGATATAACTCTGATGAACTTAATAAGGTTGTGCTCGATAAAGTTCAAAAGAAAGCTGTCACTGTGGTAGTTCGAGAATGATTGAGGATAATAGAGGTGATATATTTTATAAAGACACTCTAATAGTGAAGTTAGTATCTATTGAAATAGAATAACAGTGTGTGCATATATGTGTCAATTGCTTACTTCATTTAATAAAGAAGATTGATCATACAGAACGAACTTTTTGGATTCAATTCCAATATTAGGCTATAAACCACTTAGAAAAACTAATAAGAGTGTTGAATTTTTTTTAGTAGCCCTAGATTATATATCAAATTTGTAATTTGACCTAACTTAATACATTCACGAGTAGTTTGAGTTGAATTGAATTAAAATAAATAAATTTCTATCAACTGAAATCTAATATATTTTAAATAGCAAATTGAGTTCAAAATACTTTAAAATTCACTTAATGTACACACAGAATTTTATCTGTTTTATTTATTTATTTACTCTTTAACAGTGATAGCTAGAGAAGCAAAACAAGAGTGTTTCCTTTCATAAATAATTTGAACAACAATCAACATTTAAATATTAAAATTTAAAATTTTACATAACAAGTTAAGTCAAAATTTTGTTTATATTACTTACATTATTAGCCCAGCATGCTTTATGTAATAAAAAATGAAAACTCATTTTTAAAATGGTATAAAAAAATAGCAAAAGCAAAAATATTTGGGGTGATCAAGTCAAATATCTCCGGAAACAGATATGTGTTGAAAGCTACTCTTAGATGGCCTCATTTCAATGACAATCTGGCCTATATACTAACTACACTTCCCCACCCAATCTTTTTTGAAGTACCAAAATAAAAATAATCATATTTAGAAATAATCAAATATTATATAGAATAATCTACAATACAACTAAAAAAAATAAAGCGCAACCTCATATATTATATAATAATATATTCATATTCTTGTCAACTTCGTTTGATTATGGAAAAATAATTCACCATCGGATATCTAACTTACATATTTTTGTGTGTTGAAATTATATCTCGTCTTTTAATTTTACATAATAAATCGTATCACGTTCGGAATAATCAAACAGTGACAATTGCTATGTTCATATTATTTGACTAATTAGAATTGCACTACGTCATCCATATTATAATTAATACCATAATATGACAAATAGCTTTATAAAATGGAGATAAAGTATAAACACAGGCATTGTGCCCTAAACAACAATCTAGCAATTAACCATTCATTAGAATTTCAACGAGTAGAAAAAGTGGAGATGCTTTATTAGTTTATATCATCCAATTGGAGTTGTAGAAACATTAGGGTGATGTTTACATTTATAAAGAAATTTCAAAGGAGCTTTAGAATTTTCTCAATGGCACCAAGTGCTGATAAACTATACTCTTATTTTCTCTATCTTGAATTATTATATATAGTTTCTAAGATAATAATGATTACCTTAAACAGGAAAAGAACATCGCATCTTATCTTATCTTAATTACTTTATTTAATATTGGAAACCCTTGTGGCTTTATATTCTTCCCTTTGATTTTTCTGTAGTTCAGGTATGAGCTTCAAGCAAGGTCTGCAACAATTGCATTACATGTGAACTTTTACCTTGTTTCAAAGCCACTAGATAGGTGGTTCTGAATTAATAGTCATTAGATGTAATGTTATATAATTTTAAACTTTTTAATAAATATTAAAGTAATTCAATTACTAATCAAAATAAGGGATCATGAAAATTTCAAATAGGTTATAAATCTCACCCTATAATGAATCGTGTTTAAAGTACACAGATATGATGAGGTGCTTCAGATACTTGCATTCAGCTTTGAAGAAGCAAACCCATATGGTCCCTCTCTTGTGGCACCCACAATTAAAGTCCACCCCACCAAGAGATTGTCCCTCCAGAAGTGGCCAGTGCCCTACTTTGATGAGAGTGTTCAACCACAACAATTTATTATATTATCATCAACCAAGAAGTGAAAATTTACCTTATTATTATAAGGACCAACCTTAAGAGCGCTCGTGCTTCACATCTGAATGAAACCAAACCTAAATTTTTTAAAATATTAAGTGATCATTTAATTAAAAGTTGAGTAAAATTAGTTTTCATAAAATTATTTTTATTAAAACATGTGTTTTACATTAAAATTTGTGATCGTTAATTTTTTTCATGATTTTTTTAATCAAGCACCAGGTTCACCTAATTGACATACCCACTATTTTAAAATACGCAACTAAAAGTAGTATTTTTAAAAAATATATATTTATCATATTAAAAATAAAAAGGGTAATAAATGTTATTTTTTAATAAAAAATTTATTATTTTTATATATTTAAACTCAATTATTGTAAAGTCAAATAAATTTATTAAATAGAATAGAGTTGATTAAAAGAAATAACCCAGCCAAATACAAGAAAATATGTGTGAACAGCTTGTGTAAACTCCCCACCTACACAGCAAAACTATTCCCCTCTTGAGTTAACAGATGTCTAAACAAAAAAGCAACGAATCCAGACAAAACACAGAACAGTGTGCAAATCTATGTACAGTCTATGAATCAGAACAGAACCACATATGACACATCAGGACAGAGTTGTGGTTACTTATAATGCTACTGTTATATAGTGCCTTTCAATTTTTTATTTATATGTTTAACATCCTCCAAACGTACATTTAAGTGACGTTTATACCAAAGAAAAAGTGACATTAATATAAACATATTTTAAATAGCTTGAGCATAAAAGTATGTCATGTTTGGTTAAATGGAATACTTTTATAAAACGAAATTATCAATAGGTAGGAATAAAACTTTTCCAACCTTCAATAAATATTTTTCATGCTAAATGAAGGTATAATGGCTAAACATATTTTTTGAATGGTGATTGAAGACAAATATATTATTCTTAGAAAAATAAAAGGAGCAATAGCCAAACACGTGTTATAATTTTTTCACAATAATTATATTTCTAAGAATCACGTTTTCAATAATGTAGTTTGGTTAGGAATAAATGTTTGTTTTGAACAGGCCTAGTGTTACTTAGCTCGTTTGATTTGCATAGGTGCTGTCATCTCTTTTTGTCAGTGGTGGGCTCAAATAGCCCACTTGACAAAGAAACCATTTTGATGGGCTTCAACATGAGACTTCTATAAGGATCCAGTCTCGTTTCTAATTGACAGTGTCTCGTCACCTATGAAGCTCAGATCCTTGATATGACACCGATACGATACGATATCGATATAGGGATACAAAAAAAATTTAAATTTCAAGATATGATACGGCTTAGATACTTTAACATGAATTTAATGAAATAATATTTATAAAGAAATATTGATAATTAATTTATATTAATGTGTTACATTTACATATCAAAGATCACATTTTACAAAAAAATACATGCGATCATATCTTTCCTTGTCTATGAACACATCAAAAAATTATATACTTTATCCCTATTCAAGTTAGAATTCCACAAAAGAAATGGTAGTTCTATCCAGAAGAAATATAGAACTATCACAAAAAAAAATGTCCTGCCTTTATACTATTTAATTCTAACATTGTCACACTCATTTTCTCCATCTCTATCATCTACAAAAAACATAACTTCTAAGTCTGGTTCATCAAGAGATAATTCAGCCAATTCAAGAAATCCAGCACCATTATCAAGTGGATCATGTACATCTCCACTAATATCCCACATCCTTGTCTCTCCTTTAGTATACTTTTCTTCTTTCCTAGACAAAAGATGAAGGTTGGAATGCACATAAACCAAATCCTCAGCCCTTTTTGGATCCATTTTGTTTCTCTTCATAGAATGAATGAATGAGTACGTACTCCAATTCCTCTCACAGCAAGATTAGGAACAAGGTTGTACAAGAAGCTTTAAGGCAAGCTTTTGAAGTAAAGGGGTAGAAGATCCATGCATTACCCACCAAGATTTTGGGTCCAATGTCCACCTATCTTCAATCGAATCAAAAGAAGCAAAGTCAGCTGCACAAGATGAGAAATTTGAGAATTCAACAAAAACATTTTTTCTTTCTTCAGCATTAGGAAAATATCTCTTCAAACATTTGTTCCTTTCTCTCGAAACTTCATCATCTTGATGTGGAGGAACTCTATTAGGAGCTTCCCTAAGCCATTCTTCACTATAATACCTACATATGATTAAAAAATTTGTTATAGTATGATTTTTTATTTTTCAAGAGACAGTAACTAAGTTGAAATTTACCTTGGGTTCAATGAATGGGCCAAACAATGAAGTGGAGTACAACTCTTACTCCACCTAAAATTCAGTATACTATGAACCACATCATAAAAATTGAAAACTTCATTTGTTTCCTTTTCCTCATGCCTATATATGACTGTCTTCACTTTTTCAATCATGGAATCCCACATTTCATAGACCAAATGAAGAGTAGAAGCATCTATGTCACATTTTCTAAGCATGCTATATATAGTATCTGTGAAAGAAAGAATATAGTCTAATTTATCCCACCATATATCATTTAAAATAAGTTCTTTCACATAGGCAGCTTTACCAACATCATCTTCTCTATAACTATTCCATTGGTCACTAATGACCATATTTTGCAAAACACGTTTCAACAACTTCAATCTTTTTAGCATGACAACCATTGATGCAAAACGGGTTTCAGCAACAGAAAGCAATTTAAGAGATGAAAACTCATTAAAAATAGCCAATCTCATAGAGTGAGTCATTATGAAAGTCTTGATAAAAGATGCATCATCAACTAGGAGAGTGATCCAATGACACTCATTGAAAACATTTTCATTTCCATCAATATTTCTAGCTGCACATATGTTTTTCAATGCTAAATTCAAAGTATGAACAACACAAAGAGTCCAAAATACATGATGAAACTCAGCTTCAATTAACATCCCGGCTGCCTTGCAAACAGGAGCATTATCCGTTATGATTTGAACAACATTTTTTGGCCCTACTTCATTAATTACATCCTTCATTATGCTGGCCATATAGTGTTTGTCCTTGTACTCCTTAGAACCATCAACAGCCTTTAAAAATATTGATCCTCCTTCACTTACAGCCATGAAATTTATCAATGGCCTTCTTTGAACATTTGTCCATCCATCAGAAACCAATGTAACTCCTTTTATAGGCAATAAAGATTTTATAGGTTGGAGCAATCTTTCAATATGAGATCTTTTTTGTTGTAAAAGACTTGTTCTTAAAGCATTATAACTAGGAGGAAGGAAACCACTAACGTTATGGTTTGCAGCAAATGAATAAGAGCTAACATAGTAAGGATTTCTAGCAAGATGAAATGATAAGCCAGCTGAATAAAACATTCTTGCTATCTCTACTCTAAGTTGATTTCTTTCATCCACATTGAAAGCCCTTTCTAGTGTATCACTTCCTTTTTTTTTTCTTTTCTGGGATAAGGTTGCTGGAGCTGCTGAAGGTAGTGGGATAGTTTTGGGCTTAATTTTATTCTCAGCTTCTTCACAAATTCTCTTCAAATCAACCAAATACTCAGGAATGACCTTAGGACAAAGAGCAACACCAGCACCCGATATTCTAAGTAAATGTACTTTCACTCTTAAGTATGAACTTTTGACCACTTTAGCACAAAAATTACAACTCCATAACTTGTTGCCTCCTCCATCTCCTAGCTTATCTTTTATAGTGACAAATGCCCAAAGTGGAGCATGATCATCTTGAAATTCTAATGAACCAAAGTTACTTGGAATTCTAAAACTAGAGTCAGAACCAAAACTCATTTTTTGTCATCAAACACAGCTGTGAAAAAATGCAAGAATAATATTTTTACTTTATTGAATATTGCTATAAAATGAATAGAAAATATAAAATTATGAAAGAGCAAGTTTGTAAGATTTTACCACCACAGCAATAGAGAAAGAACTTTAAAATTGTTGCTGAAGTCCAAAGAAGAGAAGAGAGAAGAGAAACAAAGTTCAGAATACACCCACTGACTTGAAGCGCTACAGCAATGGAGAAAAAATGTTAAAATTGTTGCTGAAGTCCAGAGAAGTGAGAAGAGAGAAGAGGAACAAAGTTCAGAACACACCCACTGACTTGAAGCCCGAAAATCTCCTCCTTGATGAGAATGAGGAACTCAAGGTCTCCAACTTTGTCCTCTTTGCCTTGCCGGAGCAGTGGAAATCTAGGATGCTCCTCACGCCGTGCAGAATGCCAGCTTACGTGGCGCCAGAGGTGTTGAAGAAGAAAGGATATGATGGGTCGAACCTGGTTGTGCGGGTTATCCTCTTCGTTTTGTTTTCTGGGTACCTTCCATTTCAAATGTCGAACCGTGAAGCCCATAATCCAACCTCAAAACGATGATGAAAATGGAGAAATATATGAGTTTTGAACCGTGAACCCTAGCTGATTTTTTGATTTTTGGGTGTTCTGTTTTGTTCCTAACTCACGAATGATAGAAGAAATGGGAAAGTGAAAGACGAAGTGAAACTCCTCGTTTCAATTTTGTTGATTCACTCAATCTGAAAAAAGTTTTTAGCCAAGCTGATTTGGATCCGTTTCCAAGCCGTTTCCGAGCCGTATCAAAATATTTGGAGCCGTATCGCAACCGCATCCAGTTTAAATTTAATTTTTAAAAATAAATTTAATTTTTGATACTTCTTGGATACGTATCTAAGCGTATCGGAAATGTATCAGTATCGGATACGTGTCGGATACGGGTACTTTGCTATTTTTGACGTATCTGGGCTTTACTGCTCGTCACTCTATCCCCTTTTAATTCTAATAGGAAAAAAAAATATAGTGGAAATAAAGTATAAAATATTGGATGTTTGGATGAGTTAAAATAAAAATAAATAAATTTCTTTCACTTTTTTAAATAAGTAAAAAAATTAAAAAAATTGAGTTGTATTGAAAACTCTCATTCACTTTCTAAATTTTCATCAATAAATGGCACAATCGGAAGGCAGATAGTAATTTCATAGTGAGTAAATACTTAAGAAGTATATATATCATTCATATATAATAACTATTTATGTGAAGTGATTAAGAAGTTAGCAGATGATTTTGAATATTCTTGCATAAACTATTTGACTCGATTGAGTAAAAGGGATGACAAGGAAAAATAAACATAATTTATTATATATCTATTTTATATACATCTTTTTGGCAACTTTATTTTTTTTTTCATTAATTGGACATTCTCCTTTTCCTTACTATTTTCCATGATCAAGTTATAAAATTATAAACTTTTCAAAATCAAAGAATTCTGGAAACAATTTTTTAAAGCATTTTTTCTATACTCAACTATTAACTAAAGTTTATTAAAAATATATAAAAGTATATATGAGAGAGAATAATTAAATTAAATTAATAATGAGATGCACGTACTTATTATAAGATTTAATATATTTTAGTAATTACATAGTTGAAGAAGCCTTTAATACCAAAAGACAAGGCATGATGCAAGGTAACTACAATTGTGGAGAAAGAGGAAGGGAGGAGATAGGGATTTGAAAGGGTGAAAATTGTGAGGACAATTTAGACAATATAATCCATAAAATGCGAGTAATTTATATAAATAAAAAATGTTTATAATTCAATAATATTTTTTTAATTTATACTTAAAATTTTGGACATTTATGTTTCCTATCGTTATCAATATGACGATCTCAAATTTTATATAACTTTTTTAACACTTCTAATTAAACTAACAAACTAAAGAAAATTCTCTCCCTTGCTCCCAAATTTTGCTACTTTGACTAAAGAGAGATATTCTTGACATTCCATGGCATATTCCTCCGTTGGATAAGTGTTAATAATATATTATTTAACATACTTTAAATTATTAATTAGAGTTTATTAAAAATTAAAAAAATTATGTATGTTTTACTTTTTTCATCTTAATTAGATTTTTTTTTTAATTTTTAAAATTTTAACTAATAATTAAAAGCGTGTTTTTAATTCCTCTCTTATGTCAATGTGTATCAATAATCTCACTTTGTGGTGTTATAGTTTGATCAGTCTTGATAATTATTAAACAAGTGATTAAGCAAATGGTCTTAAACTTGACTCTAATGCCATAGGCTAAGTCCAGAATAAAGGACTGACGCTGACCCTTTGTTTGGTGAAGGTGAACGAAAATGATGGAGAAAAGGGGAAAAAAAGTTAAATTAAAGAAAAAATATTTAATTTTTTGTTTTTAAATTTTTCCAATTAATTAAAAAATATGTTATTATGTGTGTTTTTATTTATTTTTTCTCTATTTTATTTTCAATTATCCAAACAAGCTCAGGAGATTAACCCTTCACTGTCTCAGTTAATATGCAATCGTGGCTGTCGTAGTCGATGCCTTTAGATGATAATAATGTTTACTTAAAATAAAATAAAAAGCAAGCTTGAAAAGAAGAGTATGGAAGATTGTTGATGAATATAATATTAAAACTGGAACATGTTTCTTAATATATATGTTGAACATGTATTCAATGATAGTCATAAAAGATTGATAAATAATTTTTTTAATAAAAACTATAACTTTTAATACTATTAATATAGTAAATTTATAATTTTTAATAACAAATTATTATATATAAATTTTATTATACACTTTCTGCTATATGTTAAAAAATTATTTTTACCCATTGAAGAGTAATTCTTTTCAATACAAAAAGTATTGAAGTATTATATAAATTAATTTCCTGCATAATTAATTTTCTTTGTTAGAGAGGTTTTCTAATATATCTGAACCTAATTTCTAAAAGAAATTAATTTTAAATTTTCTATCAAGACCCATTTTGTGATTGAAAATCCTCAAGGGTGGCACTTGCATGTTACTCAAGCAAAATTAATGATGATAATTATTCTACATCAAACACCAAATTACTTTTATTTTAAACAATATTTTGTATAACCTAGAAATGAAATGAAATTTAAACAATCATGCAAAATGAAATTGAGTAGAAGGTCAGTCAACCCAATGGCATTTATTGTTGACATTTTATACACTAAGTGGTAATCTCTTCAAATAAGGTTTAATTCACACACATATATAGAGATACTATACACTAGGGTTCTGAATTATTGAGATTGATGGTCAAATCCCATCTGAGAAAAATCTACAGGTCTTGATCTGTGAAATCTTATCTTTTAAAAATCAAAATTTTCGTCAACTTTTCTTTCCATTAATTGGCTACATTCAATGCTCATCACATAGGCCTTTATATTTGAATTTCAAAGCTCTTTCTCCTCCACGAAAAAACGAAACTAATCATCTGATTAATTATAATAACGTGGTTCTTCTGAATGTTGGATTTTTATGTTAATTAATTTCTTTAACTGCCTTTTTTATATTTTTCTATTTTCTAGACGATTGATTTGGTAAATTCAAAATTCATCATTTTGAGATGTCCAAAGGACTAAATTACTAATTCTTTTATATTATATTTTATTCTGTCTGTTTTTCTATTGAAATTATCATACAAGTTTTTACTATAGACTATTTTTATTTTATTTTATTAAGGATATAATTAATAAAAAACAATTAATGCTATTAAAGAATAGATAAATAGAAAGGGTAATGAAACTAAAAAATTTAGCAATGTTAACCTTTAATAACAACATTTATTATGTGAATTAATAAGATAAAACTTTGATTTAATCAAAAGAAAATACATAAGGTCTTAAAGTTTGCATGTCTTTAAGAGAATTAAAAGATTCGCTCGTGAAGGATTGCATAAGAGTAGAGGTCAAAGTTTTTAAGAACCAGAATCAATGCAACGACATTTTTATTTGTCATGTATTCTCTTAATTAAAAAACACTAGTGCTTGTTAATTAGTTTTATGTTTTACTTCAAATAGATTAGAAGTTCTGTTTTCTTTCTTTCTAATCGGAAGATTTTACTTGGAAGTTATTTTAGGTCTATAAATACGAGAAGGATTCACTTTAAAACTCTACACCAACACTTCTGTATGCAAAGAGCAATACATTTTTATTATTAATTAAAATTTATTAAAGATTATAAAAATTACGTAAATGACTCTTTTTTACTTTTAAATTAACGTTCTTCTCTCATATTATTTTAGTTTTTAATAAATTTTAATTAATTATAAAAAGTTTATTAAAAGAGTATGTTATTAGCATTTTTTTACTTTTAAAAAAGTAAATAATACCATTAAATTTATTGCATTTTTTCTTATCTTTCATTTTACGTTCATTACTTAATCATTGTTTTCCCCTTGTTTCATTTGTATATGACTTGATCAATCATCGTTGTTCTATCCTATATTTCATTCCTTTGATTGACTTTCTCGGTTAATTTTTGTCATTTCTTGAATATAATCAACAAGGGTAATTTATAATCACGTGAGGTCGATTGATCATTCCAAGCTTGATTGTTTGGTTTTAAAAACATATTTTTGTTTATATTTGTAGTTATAAAAATAACATGTTTATTTCTTAAAATTAAATTATTCAAGAAAAATATTTTTTTATATAAGCAATTAAAAATTTAACATTTTTTATAATAAAAAAACATGTTCTCAAATTAAAAACTCCTAAAATTAAATAGAAAAAAAGGGATTTCTTACTTCAAATTGAGATCGGGAATCATAGATCTATTTGGATTCCATTGTCAAAATTAATTTCCAAGAAACGATGACACATTAATCAAATGGCATGCTATCTTTTGACCAAACAAATGACATAGTCTCTCTATATCAATGAGAAAATTTCTTTCTTACTTACACAATTTTGTCATTGAAAATTCTGCTATCGCATAAATTA